ACATACTGAATGAAATTATAGCTCTAGGGTAGTCTGCTCGTGTTTGTCAGATCTGGACCACAAATAAGCCAAAGCAACACCAAATATTAGCCAGAATTCAACCAAATGAACCACACCTGACCCTGTTCTGGGCCACAGTTTGTTTTTATTTGGTCCGCTCCTGTTTGTCAGATCTGGGCCACAAATGAACTACATTACCACACATATCTGCCATGTCAAAGAGCTATGGTTTGACCCCTATAATTATCAAATGACCACTGTACTTTATCTTTACCAAAAGTGACCTGTTTTACATGTTTTAGGATAACAGTACCATACTTGCCACATCTTACCTCAGCTGCTTTGAGCTCACACCATCTTTAGTCAGAGACACTCACCCATATTTGCCATATCTCATCTGGGCCACTATAGGCTCACAGCCACATTAGTCAGAGCTTACTGTGCCTAATATTTGCCAAAAGTGGCCCACATTTTGTATGTTTTAAGATAACTGGGCCACATTTGCCATATCTTCTCTGGGCCACTTTTGGTTCAAAGCCACATTAGCTAGAGCTTGTTGTGCCGATTATTCGGCAAAAGTGGCCCACATATGTATTAAGATAACTGGGCCACATTTGCCATATCTTCTTTGGGCCACTATACGCTCAAATCCACATTAGCCAGAGTTTACTATGCTAATTATTTACCAAAAGTGGCCCACATATGTTTTAAGATAACTGGGCCACATTTGGCATATCTTCTCTGGGCCACTATAGGCTCAAATCCACATTAGCCAGAGCTTACTGTGCCGAATTTTCGCCAAAAGTGGCCCACATATGTATTAAGATAACTGGGCCACATTTGGCATATCTTCTCTGGGCCACTATAGGCTCAAATCCACATTAGCCAGAGCTTACTGTGCCGAATTTTCGCCAAAAGTGGCCCACATATGTTTAAAGATAACTGGGCCACATTTGCCATATCTTTTTTGGGCCACTATACGCTCAAATCCACATTAGCCAGAGTTTACTGTGCAAATTATTCACCAAAAGTGGCCCACATATGTTTTAAGATAACTGGGCCACATTTGGCATATTTTCTCTGGGCCACTATACGCTCAAATCCACATTAGCCAGAGCTTACTGTGCCGAATATTTGCCAAAAGTAGCCCACATATGTTTTAAGATAACTGGGCCACATTTGCCATATCTTTTTTGGGCCACTATACGCTCAAATCCACATTAGCCAGAGTTTACTGTGCAAATTATTCACCAAAAGTGGCCCACATATGTTTTAAGATAACTGGGCCACATTTGGCATATTTTCTCTGGGCCACTATACGCTCAAATCCACATTAGCCAGAGCTTACTGTGCTGAATATTCACCAAAAAGTGGCCCACATATGTCTTAAGATAACTGGGCCACATTTGCCATGTCTTCTTTAGGCCACTATATGCTCAAATCCACATTAGCCAGATCTTACTGTGCCGAAAGTTCACCAAAAGAGGCCCACAAATGTTTTAAGATAACTGGGTCACATCTTCCATATCTTCTCTGCGCCTCTATACCCTCATAGCCGCATTAGCCAGTTTACTGTGAGAGTTTACTGTGCCGAATATTTGGCAAAAGTGGCCCACATATGTCTTAAGATAACTGGGCCACATTTGCACCAATGTGAGCCACTTTGAGTTTAGACCCAGATTACCCTTAAATTACTATGCCACATTTTTTGCCAACTGTGGTCCATATTCCTCCGTCATTTGGGCCAAATTTACCATTTTCCACATGGGCCACATTAGGCTCACATTCATTTTGTCTGGGCCGAAGGAAGACCACCAGTGCTGAATAACTGCCTAAAGTGGCTCACATAGGTATGCTATCTGGGTACTGTGAAAGTCCGTGGCCACAGGTTTCCAGCTTTCTTCAAAATATCTTCTTTAGATTTCAACAAACGTATAAATGTTTATAACCACTTGTGTAAATAATGATTTCATTTTCATTTTAACATAACAATGACCACAGAAACCAATCTCTTTACAACAGCAACACTAAAAACATGGGAAACAATGCTTTATCAAGCAAATATACATTTCAAAATATGTTAAATAAAGTGCCAGCTGTAGCATGTGCATATACAGTCTGCAAACCTTTAGGAATTACATTTCAAATTAGAGGTCTAGGATTAATTAGTCCCCCTGCAAACTTCTGAATGACATGAACAACAGCAATAACAACACAGCAAATGCATATCTGCAGAAAAACTAAAAAACAAATATTATAATATTCTCTCCAGCTCAATCCAACACTGTTAAAGAAATAAATGAACATTGATTGCTATGGAAAGATTTCCCCCTGAGTTAGCAGTGAAAGTGCCTATTCACTCTCAAACATCCCAATAAGTCTAGAGCAGAGGTTCAGGTTTTGTTTCAGGTTTGTACAATGGATGGCACTAATACCAACATAAATACAGTGGAGTCCAAAAGTCTGAGATCACATCGAATCTATGAGATCACAAATTTGTTAAAATGAGTGTATTATGCAGGCAACATGACCACCTGGTTGACCTTTTAACTCTATATGTTATCATTATTATTTTAATTGCTTATTACAGAGGGGCTGCACAGTGGCTCAGTGGGTAGCACGTTTGCCTCACAGCAAGAAGGTCGCTGGTTTGAGCCTCGGCTGGGTCAGTTGGCATTTCTGTGTGGAGTTTGCATGTTCTCCCTGTGTTCATGTGGGTTTCCTCCTGGTGCTCCGGTTTCCCCCACAAATCCAAAAACATATGCTAGAGCTGAATTGGGTAAGCTAAATTGTCCGTAGCTAAATTGTCCGTAAATAGTAAAATGTGTGCGAATGAGTGTGTGTGGATGTTTCCCATTGATGGGTTGCAGCAGGAAGGGCATCCGCAGCGTAAAACATATGCTGGATAAGTTGGCGGTTCATTCCGCTTTGGCAAACACTGATTAATAAAGGGACTGAGAGGATAAGAACATGAATAAATGAATGTTTAGAGTTTTGTCAGTATATTATTCAGTGCAACTTTATTTTCAAGGAGTGCACTTTAAAGGGTTCAATGAGAGATGGTTTTAAAGACGACTTTAAATGAACAAGGAATAATAATTTCTATGGTAATTAAACAAGTAAAGGGCATTACGTTGGACAAAAAAGTTTTTTTTAACCCTTAGTAAAAAGGGTTACTCTGAAGCACATAATAGCCCCATTTACAAATAGTGATACCTGGAAATATCAGGAAAATTACTGGAACGACTTTACTGGTAAATTCAAAAAAGAGCTGTTCACACGGGGGAGGACGTTCCAGAATTTTACAGGAAAAGACCATTTACACATCCATTCCAAAATATCAGTAAATTCTGACATTATTCTTGCCGCACAGGAATAAATCACGGGAGCGGTCGGTAACCGGTGTAATTTTGGAGAGGAGCCTATGTATGTGTGTGAATGAGAGAGTGTGATGCTGTGTTCAGCTTGTTTGTTGCTGTCTATGTGTGTGTGTGTGTGTGTGTGTGTGTGTGTGTGTGTGTGTTTGTGTGTACACATGTTTTTATGACATATCAGAACACAAATCTGTATAATGACATGGGTATGACACAGGTATTGTACAAAAAGGAGGTAAAATATGAGGACATTGGTGACGTCCTCATTTCTCAAAAAGCATATAAATCACAGGATGAGTTTAATCAGAGAGTAAAGCTGCACACAGTCTACTGTGATGGTTGGGTTTAGGGGTGGGAAGAGGGCAATTCTATATATGGTTTGAACAGTATAAAATGAATGGAAACCTATGTAATGTACCCACTTTTCACAAAAAACAAACATGTGTGTGTGTGTGTGTATGTGTGTGAATGAGAGAGAGCGTGATGCTGTCTGTGTGTGCGTCACTTGGTTGGTGCTTATGTGTGTGTGTTTATACAGACAGCTTGTTATAGGCTGTCTGGACTCTGTATAGCTGGGTGGTTTTCGGTTTTGTTAAGCGGGAACAGACACGGCGGGTAGAAAACGGGGTGGGGCGGGCAGCGGGACAACAAATGCTGAATATAAGCTGGAGCGGTCGGGTTCGGACTAAAACCTGGCAGGAGCGCGGAAGCGGGATTCAAAATTTAGTCCCGCACACATCTCTTCTCCAGTTTCCCCCACAGTCCAAAGACATGCGCTATAGGTGCGTTGAACAAACTGAATTGGCAATAGTGTATGTGTATGAATGTGAGAGTGTATGGGTGTTTCCCAGTTGGGGGTTGCAGCTGGGGGTTGCGTTGTGTAAAACATAGGCTAGATAAATTGGTGGTTCATTCTGCTGTGACGATTCTAATGAATAAAAGGACTTAGCAGGAGGAAAATTAATAAATTAAATGTTCTAAGATGTGCTCAACTTTTAAGGAAAGTTTCTGAGAACGCTCTCTGTTAGCCGGAACAGATTATCCTCTTATCTCTAAAACTGGTGTATTAATGACAAGAAACATGTCAGAGCAGATTACCAACCAGTCACTATGCAGGATCTCACCAAGACATTGTGAAGCATCAAAGATGCAATGTTGTTTGCCATGATTGACACATTTTACAAAATAAAACAACATTTTTTGCATCTAAATTTCCATGCAACATTTCCAATGACATATTTACTTTATACGTTTAGAAAATGTACTGTATTTGAAAAATGCTAAATTATTTTTTTTTACTTGTGGTTTCAGACTTATGTACCCCATTGTATGTTTTTGCAGCAGCAGCAAAAGTAAAAACAAAAAGCTTTCTTGATAATTCACACAGACACATGTGTTTCACAAAGAGGGCGGACAGACCGGAATCCATTTGAAAGGATTCATCCATTTATGGAATCCATTTTCCTTACAACATTCCACACATAAGAAAAGCTCGACGCTTTGCCAACCCGATTGCAGCAGTGCATCTCACATCACAAGGCTTATGCAGCTGGCTAGTGTTTGTCGTATGGGGTTTAAGCACCACAGCAGGACGGTGTATTAGAAGATGGACAGTAATTTGGTGACTTAATATTCTCTGGCCTCCTCCAATTCATTCATGAAAATATCCTGTTGGGGGTTCTCCATGCAATGCAGTCCGTTGTTGGGTGGACGGACGGCGTGAAACCTGCTCCAGTCTCCCTTGCACAGAATCCAGGGCAATACATCCACCTTGAAATGCAGCTCCGGAGAGAACTCTGTGCTTATTAGGTTGGGGGTACCTGCCCCCTTACCTCTTGTAATTAATTGCTTGTTGTCATCATAGCAACAATGTTGGGCAGCCAGGGTGGTGCCGTTTTTTGAGAGACCAGAACGCAAGCAGGACCGCGCAGAGGGTTTGTAGATATCCAGACGTTCTTTTGGGCCACTAGCATCCCTCCACTGGAAGGAGCGCTCATGTCCCACGTCCAGCAGGCTGACGATGTTATTGGAGACGTGTGAAGGATAGGAGCATGGACAGTTGGGCAATTCGGTAAACACCTGCTGCAGGTAACGCTGAAGGAACTCACTCTTACAGTTCAACCACTTCTCACAGCTGTCCACATCTGCAGAACAACCGAATCCACATTAATCATAGTATGTACTCTAAATAGCATCTAATAGTGATTTAAATATAATGAGAAAGCTTTATACATTAAATCAGTGGTCCTCAACCACTAGGTCGCAGACCGGTACTGTTCCGTGGATCAATTGGTACCAGGCCGCACAAGAAATCTTTAATTATTTGTGTTTTATTTATTATCTGCATTAATCTTTTAGTTTAAAAAATCTTTTATTTTGAAAAATGACTGTATTCTCTTGCTTTCATCCCAAATTTAACCCAAAATTCAACCCACAAGCAGAGTAAGAAACAGACGTCTCTGGTAAGTTTCTTTGCTAAGGAGAAGGACCCACAAACTGCCAAAGAATAGATCTGCAACCCATTTGTCAACAAATTAGGTGAATCCACCATGTCTGTCCAAGAAGACGATCAACTGCTGGAGATCGCAAATGACTTTGCATATTACATCTTTTCAAGAGTTCATGCAAATTTGTTATTTCCAAAGGTGGTGTGCAGCTTGCGCACACAAGTGGCATGACGTGCTCACGCCTTCCAGAGGCACACAGTTGAATGAGTGCCGCCAGCACATTGTGAGTCATGTGACAATAACTGGCTGATCAGCTTCAGTATCAAACATACACATTTCGGTAGACAGATTATCCCAGACACACAGAACACTCAAACATTACAGTACTTCATAATTTTCTTTATAAATAAAACTTGTATCAGAGTGAGAGCAATGTTTTGTCAACTTGTCATTCTTCCTACAAACCATCCTCCCCACCCCCCTGTCCACAGTAAAATTTTCAAGCAATGACCGGTCCGCGGTGATAAAAAGATTGAGGACCACTCCATTGGATAATGAAATCCCAAGAAATGTTACTGTTTCTCAGCTATAGGTTTATACTTTAACCAGAAACCCCAAAAACTGAGCCATAACCCAGCCTAATGTTACTTAAACAATGTGAACAATCGTTACACTGATCTGGGCCACATAAATCCCATCCACAACTGGCCCAAATGTAGTTTGCAGTCAGGCATGCAATGCCATCATTGCCATGCATGGCCCACATTTGGCTGACATTATGCATGCCAGTGCCGGCAACACACCAGGGGCCTCATGTATCAACGCTGCGTACGCACAAAAACTTTGCGTACGCCAGGTTTCACGCTCAGAATCGCTCACGTTTGGATTTACTAACAATGAACTGAACGTGGGAATGTGCGCAGGTTCACGGCAGCTTTCTGGCAGGCGTACGCACATTTTTTGTGCGTGTCTGTTTTATTTCCATTGGCGACTCCTAGAGGCAGTTGTGTTAAATTCTTCTCTACAAAGTGTCTGAGCCTTGCAATGGCAGCTGTATGAGACGGGTTCACATAGTAGGTATGTAAGATTTCCATACCATACAGTTGACCAGCTAAACATTAAAGCACAATTTGCAGCAGTCGCCTGTTTTCCCAATGTAATCTGAGCTATCTACTGTACGCACATTGCTATAAAGACACTATCTGAAGATGAATTTGCATGCGTGAATCAGAAACATTTCCATTCAATAAATGTGCAACTAAAATATGATGCACAAACTTATTGATGATTCCTACTTGTCTTTCTCTTGATAAATAGTGGGCAAAATCTGATATGTAGCGGGGAAAAAAAGAAAGAATTCATTAGACGCAGGATTCGAGCCGAGTTAATGCTCGAACATGTCAGTACATGATCACATGCTTCTTATAAGGTGCGCCACTGAGACTGCTAAGGGTACTGCAACATTTTACAGATATAAACCACACTATTTCTTTTTTTTAAATGCACTCAGTACGATGTTCAGACCCAACTGTGTTAACCGTATCAGCTAAACTCTCCCACTCTATTTTTTTCTTTTGTTGTTAATTCCGGAGAACAAACTTGCAAATAACACCGCTTTTCTCCGGTCTACCTCCGAAAGCATGACCTCCAATTCACATTCTGTTCAAAGTTTCTCTTTTTGCTTGATTTTGCCGTTGCTTTTTCGTTGGGTTTTGCCATTAGCATAGTCATTAGCATATTCATACGGGGGAGGAGGCAGGGAGGGGTTATGTGCTCGTGCATGTTGCGCTCAGTTTCACGTTTATTCAGATTTACAAAAGAATATGCGTGAGATTCGGCGTACGCAGTGTTTCATACATCTGAATTTTTTTCTGCGTACGCACATTTACAGCTTTGTGCGTACGCAATGTTTTAGTAAGATTTCCACGCAAGTCTTCTTACATGAGGCCCCAGGAGTGCCAAAATGAGGCCAAATTTGGGCCAAGTCCGTTTGCAATGTGGGTGGGAGAAATGACTAGGAATAATTAACGTCAGAATACGGTCAAACTACTTGCTCTACAAACATGACTACAGACCAAGTAGAATAATATAATAAGATTTTTTTTCTTTTGCAACAACACGTTGCATAACAGGCTGTTTTTAACATCTAAAAATGAATGGAAGTAAATAAGTGCGGAGGTCTCAGGCCAAAAAAATTCAAATGGCTGCATCCACTCGTATGTGAAGAATAAAGCTGTGGTCACACTGCATTTTTCTCCCCATAGACTTCCATTAATATGCACGCCAATGCGTCAGACAGGGAACGCAAGCTCATGCGACAAGTTTCGTAGTTCACTGCGTTACAAAGTTCAAGCTTGATGAACTGCAAAACTGCATCGCTTGACTGCGTGAGACCAATCGAGAATCAAAACATGACCTCTCCGGACAGAAATTTAAAATATGGACCAATCGCTAGCTTTTTTTAAACGTATAATCATCTTGTTGAATCCGGCCTCTTTTCTCAGCGCAGTATGACAGAATTTCGCAAGCTCAAACTCTAGTGTGACCGCAGCTTTAGTGAATAGCAGAGGTGCTCAACCCTGCTCCTGGAGATCTACCTTCCTGTTGAGTTCAGCTCTAACCCTGATCAAACACACTTGAACCGATTAGTTAGGCCTGAACATCACTGGATAATTAATGGCAGGTGTGTTTGATATGGGTTTCAGGCAGTGCTTAATTTGTGAATAATTGCGAGGTCCTGGAACAGATCGGGGTAACAGACCCGGCATGGTACTCGAGAATGGATAGGTGTCACGCATGAAAGTGGGGAGCGGTGGGGTGTGGTGCATAGCAGAGGGGTGTCGCTGATGAAAGTGAGCAGGGTGGGGGTGTCACGGACGACAGAAAGAGGGTTAGGGAGTCGCAGAAGAAGGCAAAAGTGAACAGCAGACGGGGGAGAAAGGCGGTTGAAGAGGGGGATCAGTAAAATGAGGTGCTAGATATCCAGATCCGGCATGTTCCGGCACAAATGAACCCTTGGTTGTATGATGGTAGATCTCCAGATGCAGGGTTAGTCACCCCTGGTCTATAGCAATTGATTACTGAGTTCTTTAATGTGCTTCCTTCCATACAACATCCATATTGACCTTTGCATTTTACCCCATTCAAATTATTATCATAGTTCTGCTTAAATGCTTCTGTCTAAACTGTTTCTTTCTAAAGACAAATGCTGAAAACATACTATTCCCCGATGGTAAAAATTTATGGTATAAGAGCTACTCGGTCTCAATTTACTTGTCAAATCCATATCCAAGCTAAATCTAAATAGGGATTTTAACAAAAACAACCAAAAAATGATGATAAAACATACTTGAAAATTGTAACATTGCGCAATATTTCTTTCAAACAATTGCTAAGGATTTTTAAAAAAAATCTACAACAATGTTAGGAATAAATTTAAGCACTTACCTGTGCCATAGGGTTCTGTACCATTTTCCATCTCAAAAGGAAAGACATGACCCACACTGTTCCAATCATCTGGGGGGAGGAAAGAACTGAACATTACATATAAATCGTTTGGAATTTTAGAACAAGAGGAACTAATTAGGGTGCTGGAGGAACCTGGGCATGGAACAAGGTCACAGCTTTGGGACTCAGTGGATGTGCAGAAATCCCCACAGGAACGTGAGCGGGTCTGGTTGCCATGTCCGCAAGTGACACTACAGGGGCTCCATGTGCTCCATTCTTCTTCTTTCTCTTCTAACGGAACAGAAATGAACAAGTCCAGTTCAGCTGTGTTGCTATTTAGCTCTTCAATGCTCAGTTTAATATCACAGTCAATGCTGTGGGAAGTGATGGAGCTGGAAAGCAGCTTTACAGAACTTGCCTTTACCAAAAACAGACTTCAGTTGATGAATTAAAACAAGGACGACATATGTCTTCTTCCTTCAGTATTACAGAGTAAAGATTAGAGACTGCACGTTTAAATATTTAGCTAGAATTTGGGTGGGGTACCAACAATATTGCACGCAGAGTGATGACACCCTGATTACAGACAGACAAGTGAATGATCAAAAGAAGGCGTAGACTCAGTGACTGCTATAGCTGGCTTTGTAGAACTGCCAAATTGCAAAACCCACAACAGCCACAGGGGCAGTCTTATACGAAAGGTTAATCAAACCAGGATTGGCCACTATATCCATGGGTTCAGGATTTTGTTGGTTAGACCTCCTGGAAGATGTTGGTGTCAAGAACATTTTGAACGAACTGTTAAACTGGCTGAATTTATTACTCGAAAGAGTTTCCTTTTGCTGAAAAAAGGTTCAAACTCAGGGCTTTCCAAACCAAAGGGTACTATGTTCAGTTCTAATTGACAAATGTAAGTGTCCAGTTTTAACTCTGGTATATTTACCACATCATTGTTGGTGTTCGTACAGGGCTGATGCATCAAGTCCACATGATTTTGTTAAGTAAACAAGAGATTAATCCAAGGACATATTCTAATTGGTGTTACTACCGTATGTTAACAGCCAAGTAACTGCTTTTGAAAAGAATTCAATTCAATTCATCTTAGGGTGCTTACACCAAGACTTTTGTTTCAGAACCTGTCTCGTTTAGCCAGTTAGCACGGCTAGTTTGGCAAATGTGAATCGAGCAATAGTGCTCGGATCCGCGCTAAAACAATCAGTCCGAGACTGCCTAACTAAGGTGGTCTCAGCTCGATGGAAACGAAATCTGGAGCAAATCGATTGTTGTAAGAAAGCGTTATGGTCCGCAAATGAGTGATAATCTCACGGAAATCGCACGTCTCCCTTCCGGTCCTCAAATCTGTCGCGCACCCTTCTCACCCCTCCCTACCACCCTCCCCCGACAGCTGAACTGGACACTACAAAATAATCCATGAAACTCTGACCAATGTGAGGAGAGTTTACTCGCACGTGACTTGTTTTAGCTATTTTGGTCCATTTTGAATCTTTGCTGTGTGAAAGCGAACCGCACCAAGAACAAAGAGCAGCAATGTAACAATTTTAATCCCCTTTTTGGAACAACTGAATCAATTCACAGGTGTGAAAGCACCCTTAATGTCTATAGAGCTTTCACAATGTAGATTTTGTTAAAGCAGCTTAACATAGAAGTTTTCGTAAACTGAAACTGTCAGTCCAGTTTTCAGAGATGAAGTTCAGTTTAGTTCAGTTCAGTGTGGTTTAATTTTCACTGCTGAAAGTTTAAAGACTGAGGAGCTAATCCATTAATGCATAGCTCCACAAGTCCCAAACCAAGCTAGCCAGTGGCAAGGAAAAAAACTTCCCCATTTGTCGAAAAAAAAAAAAAAAACTCGGTCCCATTTTATATGAAGTGGCCTTAACTAATATGTACATACAAAGGAAATGATAGTTTGTTACAATGTACTTATTGTGTAAATACATGTATTTACTGTGTACTTATGCTTGATTCAATACATGTATGTAATTACATCTGTAATTAACTTTTGTAATTTCATTTGTAAATACACTGTTTACCATCCCTTACACCTTAACCCACCCTTAAACCTACCCATGCCACCAAACCTGTCCATAACCCAACCCCTATCCCAACTCAAGAGCACCACAAGTGTTCTCAAATACATTATAACCACAATAAGTACATTGTATTTATTTTTTTGATGTAAGTACATAGTAGTTAAGGACACTTAATATAAAGTGGGACCAAAAACTCTAGAGAAACCAGGCTCAGATAGGGATGACCATTTTTTCCTCTGGCCAAACTTCTTGTGCAGAGCTGCAGTCTAGGCGCTGGAATGTAATTTGAAAAACGGGAATTCCTGTTATGTTAAACCTTAGGCATTTTTGCCTTATATCTCAAACTATTCTCACTCTAAAGTTGAATTTGAAGCATGGTGATGCACCTTCTGTGTCAAGGTTAGAATGCCAAAGATGACCCTAGACATAATTTTGGCCAGGTTAAACCTCTACTTTTTTTTCGAAGAACATCCTGGGATTTGATTTTTAATCAATACAAGACACAGGATATAGCAGGCGGATACAACTACAGCAGGGTTAGCACACTTTCCTGTATATTTCAGACAAGCCTGAGGGACTCATTTAGTTTGATCAGGTGTATGTAATTAGGGTTGATGCTAAACTATGCAGAGCTGTGGCCCTCCAGGAATTGAGTTTGACACCTGTGAACTACAGTCACAATTTATTCAAAAGGTCTATTCACCACATGGCTCAGATTTTGTCTGTCACAAAGTCAAAAATTGCCATCAGGAAAAGCATCAGCTTCAGTTGTCCAAAGCTGCTGGCGCCCTCTGAGTCTTGTGACAGATTGTGTCAAATGCTATTGGCTCCCTCTTTGTCCCACGCTAACCTACTGCTCTTTTCAGTAATTAAAACCTTATAATTTATCCTGATCTTTATACAAATACATTGCATGCCTTCAGAGGACTTGGAATGCAACATGATTTGCTCAGAAGTAAGTTGCGGGGTCAGCTGCTCTAAAATATTTCTTAAAGAATGAGCCGCAAAATGCGAATGATCAAAAGCATCGGAAAACCTCGCTTGTTATAAAATGATGCCTAAGGTCACCTATGACTATCCAAGCACATCAACATGACGTCAGATTGATGCTGTACCCCAACGTCAGGGGGATGTTGCTTATTGTTTGGAAATGAAAATTGGATTGACGTCAGAATCCAATGTCCAATGTCCAACCTAAAATCATCCAAATATCAATGTCCAATGTTACAGCTTGACATTGTGTGGATGTTACCAGTATGATGTCAATCAGACATTGGATTTTGGTTGCCATACTTGAAAAATAAATATTGACATCGGTTTAAGATGTTGGCTCGATGTTGGATTTTGGTCACTTTCCAACACAAACTAATATCAACCAAATATCAATGTGATTTGATGTCGTAATTGGATATCAAAAAAAATGTTGTAATTAGATGCTGGCTAGACATTAAGTTTTAGTCACCTGACGTCACAACCTAAATCTAACCTACTATTATTGTCTTATGATGGGATGCTTCAGATTTTGATGCCTTCCGAGAGAGAATGGGTTTATCTGATCATGTACTGTATCAGACTCTATGTTTAGATTTAGGTCTTTGAATATAATCCAGATACCCAATTAATCTCAAGATTTAGGACTTTCAATGATGTCTTCTTTGACCACTACAATTAAACACACACTATTTCATCCTTGTCTGAAATTAAACTGTAATTCTACAACGCAAATTGTGCAATTCCCACCATGGACTGGACGGAAAAACAAAAAAGCAACAGAGGCGTAATGTTATGCATGGCCTTGAAAAGCCTAGAATTCTTGAACAGGCTTAAAAGACCCAGCCGCTATGGGCTGGAGGAGGGTGTTGGGGGACACAGGGTCTGGGGCCCAACCCGTGGGACATAAAAAGTAAACGAATGACCCCTCTCACTCTGTGTTCCCGATCTGCACTCTAATTGAACACAAGCATGGGCTTATTTGTCCAAGAGAAAGTACTCACGCTGCCATTAGTGAGCGGATCGGGCTCGTCTTCAAACAGCAGTCTTCTCCGCTGAGTGGGACCAGCGTCTACTTCAAAGGTCGGGCACCCATAAATACGCCATCGGCGGCTGAGAATTTAGCCTGAATCAATGCTGTGAAACAGCCCTTACTAACTCGCCCTATCTTTCACATCTCTAGTTCCCTTTAACAACTCTCAAAAATCCTCTTTACAGTAGCTGACTGCTAGCAATTCAACTATTTAACATTTCTCTAATTGCTCTAAAATCTTTCTGCTCAATTTTTTTATTTTGCAAATAATGCTATTGAATAAGTTATACATTTTTTCCCCATTCAAATAGTTTTATTAATTGCACAGCTTATGTATTTCCATCTCTCTTGAACTCTCAATAAAGTTAAATCTCTCTTGAGTCAAGGGCTCAAGATCTGTGAAAAAACAGTCACACGAAAGGTTGGGCACACACCAAGAGATGTCTGGCTGCAGACTTGGTGCAGATGCAATCTGAGCTGAATCTAATGGTTTTTAATGTACTCACCTAACCCCACCTCTAACCTTACCCCTCACAGTGACATCACTAGCTCCATTGAGTGCAATGTGTCTGACATTGCATCTCTGAGCGATGCAATCTCAGCTTGCATCATAAAGGCTGCATCCAGATACTATTGCACACACCACAAGCCAATTGGTCTGACATGATTGCTACTGATTCCTCTCCTTCCGACAATCCTAGGTAATGTTCTAATTATCCTAATCGTTCTAAATATCAGATATTCCTGTGGTGTGTTAAGCGACTTAGGGTGCTTTCACACCTAGACATTTGTTTCGGAACTTGTCTCCTTTGCCCAGTTAGTGCGGTACGTTTGGCATATGTAAGTCCAGCAATCGCACACTGATCCGAGCCAAATCAATTGGTCCGAGATCGCCTGAATGAGGTGGTCTAGGCTCGATTGAAACAAACTCTGTAGCGGATCGATTGTAGTGAGAAAGCGATATGATCTGAGCCCGGTTATATCACAGTGTTTTATGGATATGTAATATTCATACGGCTATATGAAGAGAGAATTAAGAGTTGGGCGGGAGGTCACGTCAAGTTTTGGGAGTCTCCCGCAAATGCACAGAGACTCCCGGATGCCCACAAACGAGTGGTAATCTCTAGGAAATCATGTATCTTCCCCCCGGTCCTCAAATAAGTCGCGCACCCTTCTAACCCCTCCCCAACGCATCCCTCCTCGCTATTCAGACACGTCGCATGCACCCTGTCAAACAACACCAAACCACCACCCCCCGACAGCTAAGAGGGAATCTGCAAAATAAACCCTGAAACTCTGACCAGTGTGGGGAGAGTTTACACACACATGACTTGTTTTAGCTCTTTGACTCGTTTAGAACAACAATGTACCGGTTTTAATCCTTGTTTCGGAACAACTGAATCGATTCACAGGTGTGTAAGCACCTTTAAAGGGTTCACACTTAAATACTGTTTGACAACTTGTTAGCAAGTTAGCAGGTTTGGCATGTTGTCTCGAGCGAGAACCCTTAGCTCGGAGATAGTTGAGCCCAGGGCTCCCGCCAGGTCCATACAGCATGTGAGGGGAGTACGAGGTCAGGTGGTTCTCGAGAGCTCCCCTCGGCAAAAGAGGAAAGGAGGAGAAGGGGTGGATGGGGGGTTTCTCCGGGAAAACGAAGATGAGGGAGTAGTTCTTAGCTAGGTTACTTATAGTGAGTTTGGATCGATCTGATTGGCTAGCTAATGAGTATAGATGAGTGGCCAGCTGCAGTCAATCATATCACATGCTCCTCTCGAAATTAGTTTGTGAAACTTCATTTAATCTGTTCTGATGAAAGTCAGAGATGTTCTGTATGTGAATCATAAATATTCAACATGTTCCAAAATCTTTTACAATTGTGCCTAACCATTCTAAGAACAATCAGGTATGGTTCCAGTTGTGTTTGTATGTGAACCTGGAATAGCACGGCATGGTTGCAAACTGTTCTTGGTCCAGAATTCTAAACCATTCTGAGCCATGCTGAACTGGTAGAGCGCATGATGTAGCCACTCTGTTGCCTGGCTGCAAGTTTCTGCATAGCTGGCTAGGTGAAAAAGAGCTTTATTAATTTTTTCAAATTGAATGAATTAAGGCTCAATCCCAATTCTACCCCTTAGCCCTTACCCCTACCCCTCGTTTTGTGCATTCACGTGAAGGGGAAGGGGTGTCCCAATTTTCTTTAGCTTGAAGGCGTAGGGCTAAGGAGAAGAGCTAGAGACCCCTTCAAACAGAGTTTTTTCAGGACCACATTCGAAATCAAGGAGTAAGTAAGAAAAAAGGTCCTAAAATACAGAAATCTGATCATAATCCATATCAATGTTTACATTATACATACATTACCAGGGCAAAGACTGACGCATTTGTATTACATTCCAAAAAAATCCGTCATAAGCATCATATTGGAAAGTGACACTGTTTCCATTCTGACTGGCCTGGATTAGCAATTGATAGTGGAAAAATGGCTCTGTATGTGTCAGGGAAACCATGAGGACAAACATGCAAATGAGCCGGAGATTATCACTTGAAATTAAACATTATCCAATCAGAGGATCAGCTTGTCAATTTGTGGCAGCAGCATGAATGTTTATTCATTTTCACCCACTATGTTTGTTCTCAAGTCTTGAGAGATATTGTAAGATATCCCGTGTACACATTCAGAATCCTTGTTAAAAATATGTTGATGAGTATTGTATAACTTAAGTAGTCACTTATTCTATGCCATATTTTGATCATTCACTTGCCTGTCTGTAATCATGGGGCCATCAGATTGTGAGCAATATTGTTGGTACCCCAACCAAATTCAAGCTACTCACTATAGGAGCAAATGAAGAAATCTAAGATTTTTGTGTCCTCATGTATGTGGTGTCTAACCTTTAGTGTGTATTTACACATTAAGTGTGTACCCAGCCTTTTATGAAAAATAGAATGCTTACCATAACGGTTATGAGTCCAGTCGCCATCTGTCTTGCCAAGCCCACTAGGGATGGGTTCCCCACTATCATAATCATAATCATCTTCTTCATCCTCAGCTTGTCCTGTACCATCCTCGCCCGAATCTGCATCTGTATAGCCCCAAAATAAAGGCCAGAAAAGCTTCTTCCCACCCAGCCATTCTACAGTGGAGGAGGGAGAAGATGTGGACCAGTCATTGCTCCATTCTTTAACCAGATCCATCTCTACATCCATGGGGGGGTCATCCAAAACTTCGATGGTCACCTGTAACAAAGAAAACGAATTACACAGGCATTAAAAGCCCTAAATCGAAATAACAGGAAATGCTGGGCATTACTTTATGAGTTATGCACTTTACAATTAACGTCACACTTCTAGTCTGGGGGAAAGTCAGTGGCAGTAAGTTTTAGCAATGAGTCACTGATCGACTGTCTTAATTTGATCTTAGGCTCAGTATTAAATCAAGTAGAATTACTTATCTCAAGATCAGATTACTTAATATATTTAATTGCATTTGATCTGGAATGATGAGCCACAATGGATGCTTTGGACCAGACTTAAATAGACATCAGAAGAGAATAATGGCTTATTATATCTGGCCCTATGATACACTCAGAAAAAACATACTAAATGTTTGTAATGTTTGAAATCTTTAGATAGCTATTATGTACACATCAGACATTAATATATACCTAATTTAATATCTATAATGTACCAATATGGATGTTTTAAAGCAGGGGGTGTGAAAATCAGATCCTGGAGAGCCGCGACCCTGCAGAGTTAGGTTCCAGCCTTGCTTTAACACCCCAGGGAGTAAAGAATTCTGGCCCAGATTTGGCTCAGACATTCATCCGGCACTGGCATACAGCATGTGGGCTGAACATGGCCCCGGTGTGGCAAAGGTGACACCGTCTATACTTAGGCCTGACATTCTTACTTTATATGTGGGTCATGTCAGTTTGACTTATATTGACCCACATATAAAATATACTTTTTTATTATTTTCAAATAAAGAAAAAAAAGTTCTACCAATCAGGTCGCTTATAGAAAAGGCACACCCAAAGCATGCCTAAAGCACAAGGGTTCATGGGTTAATCAATTTCATTGCAGTTGTGACACACCAACCTATCTGGCCCAGTTCAGGCTCGGTTATGGGTTTCTAACTTGGCTGAGACTTGGCCCAGATATGGTCCATGTTCGACCATTGTCTGGAAGCCAGACTTAGTTCAGTCATGTACCGTAATTCACTGTGGCATGTGGGCCAAGCAAAAGCGGATTGTGAGGGCCAAAGCCGGGTCAGAGATATTTTGCTATGTGGGACACAGTAGGTATCAAACAAGCCTAAAGCACTCAATTAGTTTGATCAGATGTGTTTAATTAGAGTTTGACCTAAACTGTGCAGAGCTATGCCACAGTCACACTAGAGTTTGAGTATGCGAAATTCTGACGAACAGCACTGCGAAAAGGGGCAAGGTTAAACAAAATGATCAGACATTTTAAAAAAGTAAGTGATTGGTCCGTATATTACATTTCTGTACAGAGAGATCACGGCTGCGTCCGAAATTGCATACTTACATACTATATAGTACACTAAAAACAGTATGCGAGCCGAGTAGTATGTCCAAATTCATAGAATTCAAAAAACATTTTGCGAGAAGTACTCTGATGACCTGCTACTTTCGGCGAGATTCTGAAGTGTGCATCCGATGCAGGCTCTGCTATCACGTGATGTCCGGCAAGAGAATTCAGGAATGGGAGTGAAGTGACGCATCTCACGCAGGCAGTTCATATGATCATGACAAAATGGCAGATGTAGTACATCCGAGTTCCATTCATACTGTATAGAACGTACTTTTCTAACGGCTGATTAGTGCGTTTAAATTCAAATGCTGTATCTACTGAGTAGCAGGCGGTTTCGGACGCAGCCCATGTTTTGATCTCTGATTGGGCTCACGCAGTCATGTGATGCGATTTCACCAAGCTTCAACTTTGCAACGCAATGGCAAGCTAAACTTGTCGCGTGAGCTTATGTTTCCAGTCTGTCGAATTCACACACGTATGAATGGAAGTCTATAGGGTGAAAAGTAAAGTGTGATGGCGACTCTATAGTCTTTCAGGAATTTAGTTTACCATCTGTGCTTAAAAAGGTCTTTCCCAAAAAGAAAATTTCTGTTATTAATTGCTCACCCTAAATTTGTTCTAATACCTTTGCTCATCTTTTGAACACAAACAAAGATATTTTGGATGAAATTGGACCTCCCTGATCCTCCATAGACAACAATGTGCTCACTTATTTAAAGTTCAGAAAAGTGATTGGTCGTTCTTGAACGATTCGTTCATTCTAAACAAATCTTCAAAATGACTCGGGAACTACGAGTCCTCTCAGGGTGTGATTCGTTCATCTGGCGTGTGCGCACATTTGTGCAGGTGGTATCGTTCATTTCAAGTCTTTTGAGACGTTCATCGCTGAAAGGCAGAAGCCAATCATCGTTTAGAGCCGGAAAAAGAATTGATCCGTTCATCTCTTGAGTCCTCTATTGGGTTAGAGTCATTCGTTCCTCACGGGCCAATCATATGCATTTAGAGCTGGAAAGAGATTTGATCCGTTCACGTCTTGAGTCCTCGGGTTTGAGTCATTCTGTCACGTGATGAACGAACAACTCAAGAACCAGAAGACTTAAAAGGTGTACCAATTATCATGGCTCCTATCGTCTCAGACTGTGTACCTTGGTTAAGATTATATGTGACTGTCAGTGTAACGTGAACGAACCACTGACATTTAAAGACATGAAGAGGTGACCTGAGCAAAGAGACAAACATGCCTTCATAGACAAAAGAGCAGGTGAACATTGAATTATAATTTTCTCCTTCGTATGGTATTCAATTTATGACTTATTTGTAGTGTGATCAACCTTTTGGGCTAGTTGTAGATGTGTTTGGAAGCAATTCGTAACATTTTAATAGTATTTTGGCACATTGAACCAAATGAACGAAATGACTCGAAAAAAGATTCGTTCATCTCGATGAACGAGACTCAAAGATCTGTTGTGTGTCTTCATTGGTTCAATTAGAATATTATGAAGCAACAAGAATACCACACATAAAAAAGCTTTATTTAAAAATTCAGATTTATGTACACAAATGTATTCTTGTAGCTTGATAATATTACGATTAAAACACTAAACGCAATGGTCTGTTGCATTTAGTCTTATCTTTCTTTTAACTTTAAATTCAAGAGTTTATACTCTGCTGATGATTGATTATAAAGCTTGTTTGGCATGCCGTCCCAGGAGAGAGCCCTGAGCTCATAGAATCCTCGAGCCTAGGGCTCCCTCCTGTTGCAAAGCGAGAAAGTAGTTTGAGCTCAGGTAGAACTCGAGAACTCCCCTGCTGTAGTAAGAAATGAACCAATAGTGACTGCTCTTAAGAGATAACTACTTACTAGGAGCATGTCTATGGTGCCGATTTGGATAAATCATTTAAGATAAGTTCAGTTTTTGGACGGTGGGGGGAAACCGGGGAACCCGGGGGAAACCCACACGAAACGTAGGCTGGTTTGGTAATGACTAGAGCCAAAAACGTTCTTGCTGTAAGGCAAATAGTGCTAACCACTTGGCCGCCATGCCATTAATCTAGAAAAGAAGCAAGGAGTAGTGGTGGAAGGGGGGATTCTTCAAAATAAAGATGACTGTGTTATAAAACCAAGGGCATATATAGTGGCTTAGGAGTCATCTGATTGGTAAATCACAAATTTGATAATGTGGGGCAAGCCACAAGCAATCATAAGCACGTGATCCTCTCGAAATTAGTTTATAAATAAACTTCACCAAGTGAGGACCATTGCTGTCTATGGAGGAGAAGGGAGCTCTTGGATTTAATGTGTAATATCTTCATTTGTGTTCCGATGATAGATAAAAGTTCCAGGGGTTTGGACAACATCGTGAAGTACAATTGAGTAACTTTTGAAATGGTACTGCTCAAGTGAAAGTGTTAATACCTTTTTTTATAATAGTGTGTGACTTGCAATGCTCAAACACCAAAAAGAACTTGCTTACAATGTTTTTTTTAACTCCCAATATGTGATGTGTATCGTTGCCAGCTCTTACCTGAATGTTCGGGTTTTGGGAGCCAATGTCAGCATTTGCCAGGTCTGGCAAGTTTTTGAAGTCTAGGACAAAGGGTTTTGATTCTTCCTCAGGTTCTGGCAGTGGTAGGACACCTGTAGAGTGATGCTGGAGCCACCTTCGTTGGTGGGGATGTGAATCTGCCAAATGATTTTGGACCTGATTCTGTTGGTACAGGAGATCACAGTGATTGCTTATGTTTCTCTAAGATGCAACATGTGCTATTTGCACCTGCCTTTCTAGAATGATCGCTTGTTAAATGCAATTATTAGCTACAATATTTACTCAAAAAAGTCAAGTCTAACACGGCAGATAATTACTCGTTTGATTCTAAAACAAAAATGATGAAATTTTCCCTAATCAAATGCTTAATGAGTCAACCTGTCTTTATTAGGGATGCACCGAAATGAAAATTCTTGGTCGAAATCGAAAACCAAAAAAAAAAAAAGAGGAAGCCAAGGCTGGGAACCAAAACTAAATATGCCAATCATTAGTATCTTGTTCAATTGATAATATTTTTGAACAAGTATTAATGCCAAATAACAGATAAAGATGAAAGGATTTCAAATAATCAAGATTTTGAGCAGGTAGCTAACCTGTGAGCATTTCTGATTGACTACACAGTGAGAATCAAATGTATTTTTTACAAGATCACAATATTTGCTTATGATTTTGTTTATGGTTTTGTAATATGACACAATATCCCACATGGCAAATGTTTTCTGGCCCAGTTTCAGTAACTTTTCCCTTGGCCCAAGTGCCGCAAAGAATGATGGTCCTGAAGTGGCCCATAACTGGATTAAAGACAAGGGCCACACATGGGCCATAACTGGCCTGAATCTCAGCCAATCTATCACCCTTAACTGGCCCTGAACTGGACCAAAACAGGTTTATTATTAGTACTGATTCTTACCTATAAGTTTATACTTTAACCAGAATACCCAAAAACTAAGCCATAACCCAGCCTGATGTTACCTAAACAATGTGAACAGTCGCTACACTGATCTGGGCCACACACCTCCCATCCACAGCTGGTCTAAATGTAGTTTGCCGTCATTCATGCAGTGCCATCATTGCCATACATGGCCCACATTCGGCTGACATTATGCATGACAGTGTTGGCACCAAGCCAGCAGTGCCATAATGAGGCCACATTTGGGCAAAGTCCATTTGCTATGTGGGATGCTAAGTTGCAATTATTAAGATAACTATAAGGTAAGTTTAAGTCTAGGTTATACTCTTTTAATGTACGATGACAAAATGACTAAATTATACACATTTAACTTCATGAAGTTGTGTTCAATAGCACATGGACTGTAAATGTGAGTTGAGGATTTTGGTAAAGCAGAAATTGGGAAATACTATAGGTAACTGGAAGTAATAATGGTCTTATTTCTGTTGAAGGATCTTTGAGTTTGGATTTTATTTATGTTTGATCTTTGTTGAACTAGACTAAGATTGTGTTCAACCCCTACAAAGTGGGAACAAAAGAATATTACATTTTACAGATTTACAGATTTACAATCCCTCTTCTTGCATGATAATGAATTGGAATTAATAGTTTTGTAAAAAAAACATTTGATCTTTCTTGCTTTTTAGGTAACAAGTTATATCTATTCTCTTTGTAAGTGACTGAGGGTCTGGAACAATGTCAGGAGTGCAAAAACAGTGCTTATTCATTTAGCCTGGCTTCCAGAGAGTGGATTTGATATTAGTTTTGTTAACTGCCATTGTATTTATGGCTAAGACTGTGTACTAGCATTACTAAAAATCAAGGGATTGCGATTGCATAAATTAATATTAAGTTTCAAAGGATAAATCAGTTACAAATTATGAAAATATTAATTCAACAAATTGAAACAACGGGTTATCGCTTCTGGGGATGGAAACTTCAGATAGGTAACCATCTAGCTGTGGAGTGGTTGAGCTCAACATCTGACTGACATTTGAAAATGACCTGAAAGTGTGTTTAAATACGCTAATTCATTCGTTAATTTTCATGTCGGCTTAGTCCCTTTATTAATCCACAGCGGAATGAACCGCTAACTTATCCAGCAAGTTTTTACACAGCGGATGCCCTTCCAGCCGTAACCCATCTTTGGGAAACATCCACATACTCATTTATACACACACTCATACACTACGGACATTTTAGCCTACCCAATTCACCTGTACCATGTCTTTGGACTGTGGGGGAAACCGGAGCACCCGGAGGAAACCCACGCGAACGCAGCGAGAACATGCAAACTCCACACAGAAACGTCAACTGAGCCGAGGTTCAAACCAGCGACCTTCTTGCTGTGAGGCGACAGCACTAGCTACTGTGCCACTGCGTCACCTAAATAGGGTCAGTTTATAAATTTTTGGTTAAATTAAAAAAAAAATCTAGCAGAAATATGGCTACAATCTGATAGGCACATATATAGTAGCCTAAATCAGAACAGAAGAGCCTCCCTATTATAATTTGAGGCACTTTCTCACAGGATTTCACTGAACATATCAGACAATGAGGAAGCAGAGAGAAGAGTCTTTTTTTCTGCACTCTGATCTCGTCCTCCTGCCCTGTGCGCTACCCCCTCTCCGACTCCCCGCAAGATTTCTGCATCCATTGTGGTCTGGATCATTTCACGTGCGCTGCTTTATATCCGCGCCCAGTAATGATCTTCAACACAATCTCACGGCAATTCGTAACTTTTTGATTTAGTGGCTAATTTGTATGAACGTGTACGATCTAATTCGTACAGTTTAGTACGATTTGCTCATCCCCCAATGACAGTTGGGTTTAGGGGTGGGGTTAGGTGCCACGCCTCCTTTTTAAAATCATACAATTTCGTACGAGTGAACTCGTACAAATTTGTACGAATTAGCCACTAAACTGGCAAAACGTAAAATAGTTACGTTTTTTCGTGAGATCAGGCTGTGATCTTTATAAAGTGGATCTGATGAAGTGCAGAGGATCCGAATAGAACAAATAGACACACTGCAGACATGCATTTCAGACAAGAACGTGGAGGGCGCAGTTTCTGTTTGCGACATTACAACATACTGTTTCAGCCATGTTGTTTAAGTGATAAAAATCTTGAATACTTGGTTCATCCTTAATTTTTTTCCCCTGAAATTGTGCTGATGTACTTGACCAATAGAGGATCTACAGAAACCTTTCTCAGATCCAACCAACTTCTACTTGAGAGCCAAAAACAGCATGCCTTATTTACTAAACATGCATGCACAGGAATTTTTTTGTGAAATATAAAGTTTAATTAGATATGTGTAGTGGAAGCCAGCTAGTAAAGTGCTGTGCAGGTAAACCTCACTCCTCTGACCTGTAAAGGTGCTCTAGCGACAGACGCTATAGACTTATACTATCAGGTTTTTTCCCTCCGCAGCCTCGTTTTGGTTATTTAAAATGGCGGCCGCCTGAAATAATCGTATTGGCCATGGTCTTTAGTCTCCTTGTTAGAGCCACCGACTCCCATGCGGAAGATTGCTAGAAGGGATGGGTGGTACCACAATTTTTTAATGCGATATGATACAGATCCTTTTTGTTAAAAGGACACACACAGACTGCAGATCGAGCACCCCCTGCTGGCCTCTACTGGCAACAACCTTGTTTTCCCATGTGGTCTCCCATCCAGTTCCTAACCAGGTGCAGCCTTGTTTAGATTCAGCAGGCGACTATGTGAGAGCTGCAGGGAGCTAGCTGCTGGCTAATTGTAAAAATCTTTCCATTCTGAGTCAAAATATTCTATTTGCATTATATATACTCACCGGCCACTTTATTAGGTACACCTTACTAGTACCGGGTTGTACCCCATTTTGCCTTCAGGACTGCCTTAATCCTTCGTGGCATAGATTCAATAATTCACCGGAAATATTCCTCAGAGATTTTGGTCCATATTGACATGATAGCATCATGTGCTGCAGATTTGTCAGCTGCACATCAATGATGCGAATCTCCCGTTTCACCACACACCAAAGGTGCTCTATTGGATTGAGATGCGGTGACTGGACTGTGGAGGCCAATTGAGTACAGTGAACTCATTGTCATGTTCAAGAAACCAGTCTGAAATGATTCACACTTTATGCCATGGTGCGTTATCCTGTTAGAAGTTACCATCAGAAGATGAGCACACTGTTGTCCTAAAGGGATGGACATGGTCAGCAACAAGACTCAGGTAGGCTGTGGTGTTGATACAATCCTCAACTGATATTAATGGGCCCAAAAGTGTGCCAAGAAAATATCCCCCACACCATTACACCACCACCACCAGCCTAAAGTGCTAATACAAGGCAGGATGGATCCTCGGTTGTAACGAGTGGTCACTGTTGCCTTTCTATCAGATCAAATCGTTCTCCTCTGACCTCTGTCATTAACAAAGCATTTGTGCACACAGAACTGCCGCTTACTCTATATTTTCTCTTTTTCGGACCATTCTCTGTAAACCCCTAGAGATGGTTGTGCATGAACATGCCAGTAGATCAGCAGTTTCTGAAATACTCAGACCGGCAGCCCGTCTTGCACCAACCACCATGCCACGTTCAAAGTCACTTAAACCATCTTTCTCCCCCATTCTGATGCTTGACCATGTCTACATGCCTAATTGCATTGAGCTGCTTCCATAAAATAGGCTGATTAGAAATTTGCGTTAATGTGCAGTTATACCTAATAAAGTGGCCGGTGGGTGTTTTTTTAAATCTGTTGAGCATTTTAACCAACTGGTGGCATATAGTTTGAGTGCATATGCTGATGTCGAATCAGAGATGTCTATAGTCAATGGGCCTTGGGTTAATTTGATCGGCTATCTGATCTTAAGATCCGGAGACTAAGAGGCATTTGAGCCTCATTCTCAACACTAACCGGCATTCTCTTCCAGGAAGTCTCAACAAGAGGGACCTGGTAAATAACTAGTTGATGTAACATGGGCCGATTGTTTAATTTCCTGCGCTCAGAATGGAAACCAAATCTCTCCTTAAATCCTTTGTCTGCTTCAGACAACCTCTTGTCTTTCTCGGCATTGTTAAGTCAACGTAAATTATCTTTCCTCCTAGTGGATTGTGGAATGTTCTGTCAATGGGCTTTCTCAAACATAAGGCATGAATTCCGGATCTTGAAACAAAGCCTTATACGCATGTGAAAGACTATGCCATACACACACACAGTCACT